TGCCAGTTGCGCCCCTTTCTGGATCGGGACTCCCTACGCACAGTCACTCAGGCACTCGTCACCTCCTGCCTGGACTACTGCAACACTCTCTACATGGGGCTCCCCCTGGGGTGCACCTGGAGGCTCCAGCTGGTCCTGAATGCGGCCGCGTGGGGGATTATGGGAGCGACGGGGCGCTCCCATGTGACGCCGCTCCTGCGCGAGCTGCACTGGCTCCCGGTGGTCTTCCGGGTGCGCTTCAAGGTGTTGGTGACCACCTTTAAAGCGCTCCATGGCTTAGGGCCGGGGTATTTACGAGACCGTCTTCTGCCACCAATAGCCTCCCACCGGCCAGTACGCTCGCACAGTGGGCCTCCTCAGGGTGCCGTCCGCCAGACAGTGCCGGCTGGCGACCCCCAGGGGGAGAGTTTTCTGTGGCGGCGCCCACCCTCTGGAACAACCTCCCCCCAGAGATACGTACAATAACAGACCTCCGGGTTTTTCGTCGGGCCCTGAAAACTTATTTATTTCAACTAGCTGGGCTGGCTTGATCCCACAGTTTTGAGTTAAATTTTAATTGATTTTAAATTGGGTTGTTTTAAATTACGGCCAAAAAAAATATTTAATCATTTTAAACTGCTTTTAAATTTTGTATGTTCTGTTTTTATTCCGGTGTTCACCGCCCTGAGTCCTATTGGAGAAGGGCGGTATATAAATGGAAACAAATAAATAATAAATGTATGAGTGTGTGTGTGCGCGCACACGCATACATACCAAGTAATATTGGAATGCATTTTTTTCCACCAAATAGCTTGACTGAAATAATTGGTACTGATGTAATATTGAAACTGTTACTTCTTTTCTAGTGCGCTGCTCCCACAATCCATGGCTGGGTTCATTCTCCATGTCTTGACAACCACTGAGACAAAAATACTTTCTTTGTGCCATAACCACGCCCCCTTGTCTCCCTGGACTCCAGTCTTTTTCTCTCAGTCATTGACAGACTGGTGTTTTTTCTTCATGCTCGGGGTTTTTCCCTATTAAATTGTAGGCTCATTAGCCTATTTTCTTTATTTTTGATTAGAATTTACTTTCGGGAGAGAGCTTATTGTACTGCCAGCTGCTGAGGCGCGCGTGACGTGTCTGGGGCTCCAGGCCATCCCGCGTCTCTTTATCCATCGCAAGCAGCAGCTGCCGGATTCTGTCCCTTCGGGGCGGCTCCGTGTTGGGCAATTTAGCCGCCGGTGCTGTGGCTGGACTGTCGGTCCGCTGATTTGTCCGCACCACGTTTATTGATTTTGGACTCAGCTCTCACTAGGGCGGCTCCGGAGTCCCTGCACGGTGTCCGTGCACACTCTGAGGTTTGCTTGGCTTCGCAGTGCTCAGAGGGCGATTCGCCTCGCTCCTTCCACGGCCTTCAATTTCCCACCGTCGCTGAGGCTTGTGGGCTATAGAAGTGGTTGTAACTTTGGGGGTACTCAGTCCCACCTCTGCACCTATATTGCCTGGACTGGCTAGTCCGTTTTCCTGTATTGGTACCATGGCGGACTCTTCACTATCTTCAGACCGCGAACATGAGGCCAGCCCTCCCAGGCTTTTTAAACCCAAGTCCAGGTCGGGAAGGTGGGCGACTTCTTCCAGCCACATCTCTCACCTGTCCAAGACTTCCTCCAGCTCGAATAAGGACATGCCTTGGCATCACAATGTGCTGGAACACCAGTTTAATAAGGCAAGACTGGCTGCCTCTACGTCTCTGGGGTTAGAGGCACAACCATTACAGCATGCCTTTACTACGGGTCCCATATCCAGTGGGCCCCATTCTGACTCCGATTCCACCGTCCGGCTCACCGGCGGAGAGTCTCATAACCTGTGGTCTACCACTTGCTCGTTCAAAAGGGGTATCACTCTCCATGCCAGACATTTCGGCTGTGGGTTTATCCGCACCGCCAGTCCTCCAATGAAAGCAGCCAGAGGCTACCTTTACACTGACTGCCGCGGGGCTCCGCGCTGAGGAGGGGTATCTGGCAGGGAGCCATATAGTCTTTCAATCTATGTTGTCCACAGCTCTGTCATCCATCTTGGCGGCAGGTATTCAACAGGCTTCCTAGTTGCCCTATCCACCTATGCATATACAATCCCTGGCACAGAACCAGCTGGCCACGAGACCTTGTTCCCCTACTCACAAGGAACCTACTTCCTCCATTGAATCAGAACACGGGGAGGATGGTCCTGAGGATATAGAATTCTCAGAGGACGAGGGCCTGTTGCCTGATGCCCCGGCATTTACCGGCCTTTTCCAGTCTTCTCTTTTCAAATCTCTTTTACATAAAGCCAGATTAACAACGAACCTTGGGACAAGCGGGTCGCTGTCCAGCGGATCCCAAACTTCAATGGGTCCTCATGAAGCCCTGGTTACACTCTCCAAACCGGACAAAGACTTTATTCCTTGCCCTCAATTATTCTCAGAGGTGATTCAGAATCCGTGGAGTCAGCCGGGCTCCTTAACAGCGCCCAGCAGTCAGGACAAGAAGTTGTACTGTGCTGCGCCTGAATTGGATGACCTTTTGGCGTTACCATCTGTAGATGCCCCGGTCGCGAGTTTGTCATCCGCTTCATTGCTCTCCTCAGACTCATTGGATAGCCTTAAATCGGAGGACAGGAGAGCCGAACTCGCATTCCGGAAGGCACATCAGACTGCGTCTTGGGCAATCAAGACTGCAACAGCTACATTGTTTTTTAATAGGGCATCGTTAATTTGGCTAAGGCAACTACAGGAAAGGCTTCCTCCCGAGGACACTAGATTACACCAAGATATTAATAAAATCGTTGCCGCCACTGAATACTCGGTGGACGCCTCCTTGAATTTGGCCAAATTTGCTTCTCGCGCTCTAGCCTCCACAGTCACGTCTAGGCGCCTCTTCTGGCTTCGCAGTTGGAAGGCCGACGCCAAGGCTAAATGGAAGCTGGCGGCGGCACCATATAAGGCTCCCAACCTTTTTGGGGCCGCTGTAGATCCGCTCCTCATTGAGGATAAAGACAAGCAGAAGATTCTACCAGCTTCATACCGCAGACTGGAGCGCCGCTACACTCCTTATTCTAAGTGGCAGCCCTTTCGGGCCTCCTCAGGACCCGGGGGGGTCCTTCTCTCAGAGGCCTTCCTTCCAGGGCGGTGACCATTTCACAGATAGACACGAATCCCGTGACCGTAACTGACCCCAGTTTTCTTCCAAGCACCCCTTCCGAGGATCCGGGTACAAGAACTATCGCAGGGGCAAGTGACTCCCGGCCCTCAGATCCCATTGGTGGTTGTCTCCAGTTCTTCCACTGCCAGTGGGAATGCTCGACCACAGATGGGTGGGTGCGTCGTACTGTAGCCGAGGGGCTCTCCATAGAGTTCACCGGCTGTCCTCCTGCTCGTTTCCTGCGTTGCCCGTTTCCGGTCTCGCCAGAGAAGCAACGCCTGATGTCTGAGGAGATTCGGCATCTATTGGACATAAAAGCCATAGAACCGGTTCCCTTGGATCAGATTGGGACCGGCTTCTACTCAACCCTGTTCTTAGTCCCCAAGACTTCAGGGGACTGGAGGGGAATTCTAAATCTAAAGCAACTGAACCTGTCCGTCTATTATCGCAGGTTCAAGATGCACTCCCTTCGATCGATCCTGGGCAATGTGAGAGAGGGAGACCTCTTACAGTCACTGGATCTCAGGGAGGCTTACCTGCATGTCCCGGTCCATTCCACCCACTGGAAGTATCTCCGATTCGAGTATGCGGGCAACCATTACCAATACTGTGCCATGCCCTTCGGGCTCTCTTCAGCTCCCAGGACATTCACAAAACTGGTGGCGGTGATGGCAGCTACTCTGAGACTCCTCCCTGTGAGGATCTTGTGTTACCTTGACGATATTTTACTTCTATCGTCCTCCCTCACTCAGGCAACATGAGACATGGAGTTGGTGATCAGTACTTTCCAGCGGCACGGCTTCTCAATCAATCTCGACAAAAGCCAGTTGATACCTTCCACCCGTCTACTTCACCTTGGGGTGGTGATTGATTCAGTCAGGGGTCAGGTGTTTTTGTCGCCAGACAGAGTCCAGAGCCTCACGGAGTTGGTGACTCAAGTGCTTTCCCAGAGATCCGTCCCCCTTCTGCTCCTGTCTCAGCTGTTAGGGAAGATGGTTTCCTGCTTTTCCATCGTTCCCTGGGCTCGCAGGCACTCTTGGCCTCTCCAATGGTTCCTCCTCCCATTTCAGCGGACGGGCCGCAGCACCTCATCTCGCAAGGTGGCCCTGCCTCCACAAATTCATCTCTCGCTCCATTGGTGGACATCTCACACCCTATTGCAGGGCTGTTTCTTCCTGGAGTTGGACCGTCTGGTACTGACCACAGATGCAAGTCTTCACGGATGGGGCGCACACCTCCACAATCAGGTGGCGCAGGGCCAGTGGTCTCAATCTGAACGGCAACACAGCATCAACCTTCTGGAGCTGAGGGCAATTCGGTTGGTTCTGCGTCACTTCCAGTCCACCTTAGAAGGTCATCACATATTGGTCCTCACAGACAACACATCAGCCAAAGCACATGTGAACCGGGAAGGGGGCACGTGGTCACGACCGCTGATACTCGAAGCGGAGAGGATGCTGCGTTGGGCGGAGTGCTACATTCTTTCCATCAAGGCGGACCACATCTCCGGCACAGCAAACATCAGGGCCGATTGGCTGAGCAGGGAGCAAATCGGTCCTGCGGAGTGGCAACTTCATCCCATCCTGTTTCGGGAACTCGCAGATCGGTTCGGGATTCCAGTCATCAACCTGTTTGCCAGCCAGTTGAATGCTCACCTTCCTCGCTTCGTATCCCGTTACCCGGATCCGCTGGCGGAGGATTGCAATGCCCTTTGGTGCCGTTGGCCCCCGGGCCTGTTGTACGCATTTCCCCCGATTCCCCTCATTCCGCGGGTTGTCCGGAAGATGCTCACCGATAGAGCGGAACTGCTGTTAGTGGCACCCAATTGGCACGCCGTCCATGGTACGCCAATCTGGTGGTGCTCTCCATCTCTCGTCTATGGGTGATTCCTCCAAGTCGGATCTCTCTGTGCCAGGGGGTCATAAGCCACCCAGAGCCTCAGTGGCTCCAGTTGACCGTCTGGCACTTGAGAAGGTCATCATGAAGAGGGACCGCCTGTCAGATGATGTGATTGGGACAATCCAAGCTTACAGATGGTCATCCACATCCCGTATTTATGAGGCATCTTGGAGGGCATTTTGCACCTGGTATTCCAAACACCATGTTGATCCGACATCTGCGGATATACCAGACATCCTTGACTTTCTTCAGGCGGGATTGGATAGAGGTTTGGCTTCTTCTACTCTCCGGCGGCAAACCACAGCATTGTCAACCGTTCTTACCTGCCCGCCTTACCAATCCCTGTCACATCACCCTCGGATTCGAGGTTTCCTCCATGGCGCCATGAATCTACAACCTCCTACGGTCCATCGATATCCATCTTGGGACTTGCCGCTTGTTCTACAAGCTCTTACCTTGCCTCCATTTGAACCATTGGGTTCCATCGCTCTCAAGTTCCTTTCATTCAAGGTGGCCTTCCTCCTGGCTATTACATCAGCCAGGAGGGTTTCAGAACTCACTGCCTTGTCAATTAGGAAGGATCTCTGCATCTTTCATGCCAATACTTTGATTCTCTGGCTGGACCCTGTGTTTGTGCCCAAGGTGAACTCCTGGTTTCACCGGGCCCAGGAGTTCGTTTTACCGGACTTTTGTCCGTCTCCCAGACACCACCGTGAGAACGTTGGCACACGCTGGATGTGCGGCGGGCTCTTCATCAATACATACGTCGCACAGTGTCCTTTTGCTGGACTGAAGCTCTTCTAGTCTCGTTCCATCCGGCTTCCATGGGTCAGAAGATTTCTGCTTCCACTGTGGACCGGTGGATTAAGGCCTGTATTTCGCTGTCTTATGGACTCAAAGCCAGACCCCTTCCGGGCAGGATCCTGCCTCATTCCACCCGTAGCGTGGCGACCACGACCGCTTGGGCTACTCTGTCATGCGGCCATCTAGTCATTGATTTCGCCCTTCATTTGTCACTATAAGATTGACGCCTATGCTTCGGCTGAAGCTTCGTTTGGGCGACGGGTGCTACAGGCCATACTTTTGGACCCAGACTCAGGGAGTAGTCAGTCTCCCGCCCAGGGGGTTTGAGCTTGGGTATATCCCAGCCATGGATTGTGGGAGCAGCGCACTGGAAAATGGATGTTGGCTTACCTGAACGTCCCTTTTCTGGGCGCTGCGACCACAATCCATTCCCTCCCCTTCGGCTTCCTGCTCTGGACCTGGGGTGATACCTTTTGTTTTTCTGACTGTACAGTGTATTCGTTTCCAGCTTGTCCACACCTTCAAGACAAAGACTGGAGTCCAGGGAGACAAGGGGGCGTGGTTATGGCACAAAGAAAGTTGTTTTCTCTCAGTGGTTGTCAAGACATAGAGAATGAACCCAGCCATGGATTGTGGTCGCAGCACCCAGAAAAGGGACGTTCAGGTAAGCCAACGTCCATTCTTCCAGGTTTTTCCTAATATGATAAGTGACATGGAAAAAGGTATTAGATTATTTTCTTCAAATTCAGCTGTTAATGTATATAGTATTTCATCAGAGTATGGAATTAACAATCTGGCAAAACATCAGTGAAGATATAAAAACTAAGGAGGAGCCAAGGTGGCACACACTAGCAGCTTTTGAAATCAAACTTTCATACTTAAACTAAATATAATAGGGTAGTGCAAATTTTCAAAGAAGTCTTAATATTCTCTGAGATTTTGTAATGGTTTGGTGTTCAGAGTGAAGTGTGCCTGTAAGGTTCTGCCTCTCCCTCCTGTTCACGAAAGCATGGACTCTTGAAACTTTTGAATTTCAAAAGGAAACTTTTATTGAAAGGAAGTGAATGCAAGACAAGGCAAAGCAGGGTCTGAGTCTCCCCCAGGCAATTCCATTAGGATAAAGTGGTTAGAAACCCCTCCCCTAGGGGGGACTTCTGGGGTGATGTCACGGTGGTGCGATACAGGGAAAGTGGACTCCGTTCTCCCTGTCTGATTTTCTGAGTTTGGAAGCTGGTAACAGTAAAGCTGGTCCTTGGAGGGGACAGCAATTGTGAGAGGAGCATCCAGGGGTGATGGGGAGAAGCGTGATCTCCTGTTACGAAGGGTGGATGCCCTGAAAACCAGCGCAGAAGAGGCCAGCGGTCATGGTGAGGTCCAGAGACGTGGCAGCCTGAATGAATAGGAGAGGAAGCAGAGAGAGAGAAGTGGCAGAAGTATTGGCGGACAAGAAAAAAAAAAGTGAGATACCGAACTATCTCTCTAGTTGATGAAATTTACAAAAAAAATACTGAATAAGAAGTGAGTCTCCAAGGAGGAGGTGGTGGCGCTTTAGCGGTGGGAGCGGAGAAGGAAGAAGATGGAATCAATATAGATTGGCAAGGAGGAAAAGTGATTGTGAGTGCGGACTCAAATGGCTGGTATATCGGAAAGTTGGAAAACTGATTTGTGAGACAAAACTTGTGGAAAGTGGCAGGAAGGAAGAAAAGGCTCTTTTTCTGGGACAGTGGAGATAGAGGCAGAAGAAAGTAAAGAAAGTGGAGAGAAAGACAGTGACAGTGTAAATTAAATGCAGCCATCATTTTGAAAGCAGAGAACAATGAAGTTGCGGAGTGAGCAGAGAGACCAAAGATTAAGAACTGTGGTTACCTAAACGAAGGGAACTCACCTTTAAACAGCTGTCTATAGTGATTACCTTAGATATTTTAAATTCTTACTGTATATTTTAAGTACTTAGATAAATTCCAGAGAGACTTATTACAACAACATTTAAATTGAATTACTAGCTTTAAACTTAAATAGTCCATATAAACATATTGATTCTACTTTATTGAAACTTCGTATAGATTTAAGTATATTTTAATTAATTAATTAATTAGTCTTAAATACCTATTGTTGATTAATAATTGTATATATAGAGACCCTTATATTTAAGGTATTGTTTTCTTCCATATTGAATATAGTTAACTATAGAAAAATATATAAACAAATATAAGAATTGATAATTGAGATTTATATATATATAACTGTTTTCAGAAATTGGATGTTAAAGGCTTACACTGCATTATTATTGTAAACTACTAGTTGAGAGAGAAAAGAAGGGCAGGGAAGAAAAAAGGAAGGTTTAGAGTGAAAAAGGTGACAATTGATGGTATTTTGGCATAATTTTTTCAAAAATCTAAAAATATCAAATACATCCACAGTAACTAAAACGATAAAAAAAACAATGACAGCTTCTCCAGCAGGACAGAAGTTAATTACTGATGTGGTGTGCAGTGAAAAACCAGGACCTGTACCAACCTTGCAAAGTTTGCAAACTTCACTAAATATGATCCAGGAGTTTATGGTAAAAATGCAGGAATCAATAACAAACAATCACGAGGAAATGAAGGGTGAATTAGGCGAAGTAAAAGAAGACATAAAGAAATTGGACAATAGAATGGGAATAATGTAAGAAACAAAGCTAAAAATGAACAGAAAATAAAAGTGATAGAAGTAAGAACAGAACAAATAAACAAAAACTAGAAGAAACTGAAGAGAGGTTGACAGCTGCAAACAGATGTGGAAGAAGCAATTACCCACTTAGAATTAGAGAGATCCACCTTCTACCTGAGGTTTTAAAACATCATAGAGACAAGAGAAGAGGATCTACACAAATTGATGACGGAAATACTAGCTGACCCACTACAAATGGATAAAAGTGAATTAAGGAATAACATTGATGAAGTATACAGGGTGCAAATGAACTATGCAAGGAGACACAGATTACCATGGGAGATACATATAAGATTTGTGAAAAGAGCTGTCAGGGACGAAATTTATAGAAGAACAAGGGATGACCAGTTGACCTACAAAGGAAGAGTGGTCATAACTCTCAGATACCAAAGAGAATTAGTGAGAAAAGAAGGGACTACCAGTTCCTCACAACACAATTAATAAAAAGTATAATAATGTTCCGCTGGGTGATACCCGAAGGTATATTAATAACATGGCAGGATAAAAAAATAAGGATAGACACAATAGATAAAGCCAAGGAATTCTATGAACGCTATATAGAGGAAAAATTGGACAGTAGAGAAGAGTTGGAAACCAAAAGTCAAGAGGAGCAACAGCTAGAGGAAAAGGAACTAAAACAAGACATGAGAGAGAGAAGTGATATAGAAGTTCAAGAAAAAGCAGGAGCGAGGACAAGAAAGCAAAGGGAAACGAGACAAAGGAGAGAAATAAGTGACAAATAAGTAGCAAAATGGAGGAAGAAGTGAAACTACTATCATAAATCAACATAAATGGATTAAATTCGCTGATAAAAAGAAGACAAGTAATTGCTAAACTCCAAAAACATAATGTGGACATTATATGCTTACAGGAGATTCACATGAAAAATGGAAGCCCCCAAATTAGGTAAACTATTTTTGGCCTTAGTTGAAACAAAAAAAAGGGAATTGCAGTTTATATAAAAGACTGGTTGAAACCCAAACAAATTCATGTGGACAAAGAGGGAAGAATATTACTGATTGAAATATCAATAAAACAAAAAAAGAATATTAATTGCACCAAGAAAGAATATTACAGTAAATTACACAAGCAAATTGTAGAATTGGAAATGGATAACATATGCTTACTAGGGGATTTCAACGTGGTGGTTGATCCAAAAAAAGATTACAAAACAGGAAGTTAAAAAAATTATGAAAGGAGAACACTACCAAAGACTTCCTTTGAAATGACCCGAGAGCTAAGTTTAAAAGACGTTTGGAGAGAAATCAACCCACAAAAGAACCAATATACATACTTCTCCAATTCACATAATTCGTGGTCCAGGATTGACATGGTCTGGATGGATCCAGAAACAGGAAAAAATGTAGAGGAAATAGAAATAAAACTGAATACTTGGGCAGATCACAATCTGTTAATAGTTAAATGGAAAGGGGAGGAAAAAAGAAAAAAGAGATGGACCATGAATCAAAGGATAGTGAAAAAAAAAATACATTCAATATATAGAAAAAGAACTAGTGTTTTTCCTAAAGGAAAATTGGAATCAACAGACAACTATTCAAAATCTGTGGGACACAACTAAAGCTTATATTCGGGGTCTTACAATGGCATACAAAATACGAAGAAATAAAAACAAAAGAAAACAATATACAGAATTGCAAGAGAATCTGGGAAAATTAGAATATAAAATGCAGAAAGAACCTCAAAACCAGGAAATTGGGGACAAAAAAGATATAAGTAAACATAGATTAAATCTAATCACACAAGAAGAAATAGCCCCAAAAATTAGATCAACCAGACAAAACTACTTTGAAATGCCAACAAACCGGGGAGATGGTTGGCCTACAAATTAAAAAAAGGAGAAGAAAAGAAACTAATAGAACAACTTGAAGATGAAAAAGGGATAGCACATCACCTGAAGGAAGAAAAAGAAAATATAGCAGTACAATATTACTAAAATTTATATAGCCGGGAGAACATAGAGGAGGATGACATTAAAAGATATTTACAGCAGAGAAATCTCCCAACTCTACCAGAAACAGCAAAAGAAACATTAGATGAAAAAATAATGATGTTAGAATTAAAAAGGGCAATTCAAAAACAAAAAAGCAATAAAACACCGGGTCCAGATGGAATCCCAGCAGAATTTTATAAAGAATTATAAAAACCATTGGAGAACCTATTATTAGAAACATACAACGAAGTATTAGAGCGAGCTATGATACCAAAATCCTGGATGGAGGCACTGATAACTTTAATTCCCAAAGATAATGCGTAAAGACAAAAATTCC